ATCTTTTTATCTCATACTATAACTCTCTCTCTATCGGTCGATACACTCTCCCTCCGCTTTTCCATTTTTAAAAGCAAACTAATTCTCCCTCCTTATCTCACCTAGCAACTCTCTCTTTCTCTCTCCCTTTCTCCCCTTATCTCTCAGTCACACCTATTCCTCTCTCTCTCTACACGCAAAAAACACACATGTGTTGCCCTATTCTCTCCTACCCCTTTTTTTTCTTATCTCTTCTCTTTCTACAAGCCTGAGTTACCAAAGACTAGCCACCAGATAACCACCAGAGCCACCACTGATGTATTCTTCGTATTCCTCCCCCTCTCTCTCCTTCTCTCACCTCTCTGTTTCCCTCTCCCTTCCTTCCTCCCTCTTCCTGCTTCTTAGCCCCCACCCACCTCCCCGACAACCACCTCACATCGAGCCCTTAAACCATCCAGTTGCACTGCTCAGGTACATCTTCTCTCTTTCTCTCTCTCTCTCACACACACACACACCGCTATCCAATCCTTTTGAGTTCACTGGTGAATGCTTGAATGTTATTAGGTGCCTCATTTATCTATTTATTTATGTTCGTGGAATTTGTCAGTCGTATTGCTATGGACTGTGTTTGATGGTTTGGGTCTGTTTAATGTCTTCCCCAATTTGTTTAATTATTAGAGTTTAACTCATATTCTGTTTGATAATTAGGGCTTGGGTGGACAAGGCTTTTGTGTTTGTGTTTTTGATTTTGGTGTATTGAATTTAATGATTTTCATATTCCACACAGGTTTTATAGGTGACTCTCTCTCTTTGGCTGTTGTATCTCTGCTGCTCATTTCTCACTCCGTTGTTCATTCTGCGCACACAGCATACCAGGTAGCTCACAACTCTCTACTTCTCTCCCTCTCTGTATCTATCTCTCTGTTTCTCTCTCTGTTGACTACTCAACACACACAGGACATATGCACACCATGCATACAAGTTGTTCAACAAAATGCCCCTAGCTCTATTCCCCTAACTATATGCACACACTCATCTCACCCACACATAGAGTACACATAACACATAAACGCACAACATACCATACACACACAGAGCACGCACAACACACTGCACACATACATGCCATTACACACAATTATAACAAAAATTCACGCTCACAGATTCTGTCTCTATTTCTCTCTTAATTTATGATTGTTGGTTGTGTTTTAATTTGAGTTTTTGTTTATAATTCATTAGTTTGTGTAATTTGTCTCAGTTAATAATTCATTAGTTTGTTTTGTTATTCGTTTACTGTTTAAATTTTTGGTCTCTAATTTAGTATAGGCCTTTGTTGTTAGATTCTTTGGGTCTTATTCTTGAAGAAAATTCTACCCAAAAATTTTTGTTTATCAAGTCTAGCAACGTATTCGGTCTCTTAAATGGACTACATGCATTACTTTTATCTTGCTGATGGTCATTTTTTTAAATTATTAATTTTTATTTTATTAGGACATTAACTAAAAAAAATTCAAGAAGTGAATTTTGAATATTTTTTTGGTGTTTATTTGGTTCGTTATTAATGGTTTGGTTGATAGCGTTAGTTATGCATTCCTTTGGTGTATGGTTGGTGGTTTGATTATTTATGTAAGGCTATGTGATAAAATTGAGGTTTTTAAATTTTTTATCTAGGTTGATCAGAATTTTTCTCAGATTTGTTGTTTACTTTAATCACCTAATTTGTTGGTTTTTCGTATTGGTGTGTATTGATCGGAGTTATAGTCTTTTGGTGGAAAAATTAATTGTTTTTCGTTGATATTGCTAGGTTTGAACATGTTTTTTATTGCATAGTGCCTTCAGGTACGAGTAATAACTAGTGTTTTATATTTTTAATTTTTATCACCAAAAAAAAAAAACAAAACTTAGTTATGTTTTTTTATAAAAAAAAACATAAAAATGAAAACGTTACCAAACGCACCCTAATGGTCCGTTTAGTACGAAGGATAGAAAGTAGGAAGAAAGAAAAAAGTGGAAGGATTAAACTTTCCATCCATGAAGGAAAAAAAGTTGTTTTCCCTCCTTTTTGTTTGGTAGGAGGGATGAAAAATAGAAGGAATATATTTTCAATCGTTTGGTATTAAATGAAAAATGAAAGGAAAAGAAAATCATACATACCCAATTTTACAATTCTATCCTTTAAATATATGAAGTCGTTTTGTGTGTTTTTTGTGTGTCAGTAAAAAAATAATTAGCAAAAGAAAATTAACCTACATGAAATCTTCTTATAAAAAGTCCCCAACTACATTTTTTTTTTTTTGGAGAACTTCGACAGTGCGAGTAGATTTTATTGATTAAAATATTAAATTACACTTAGCCAAGGGGGACGTATGTATCTTACCCCTCGATGCAATCTAATTACAATAATTAAAGAAATAAAATTCTAATGCATGATAATTACATGGAATTAAATTAAAAAGAAATAAAATTCTAATGCATGATAATTACATGGAATTAAATTAAAAAGAAATAAAATTCTAATGCATGATAATTACATGGAATTAAATTAAGTAAAAATTTAAAAGCTTAATTCCTAAAATTCTCCAAAGGTATAGACACCTATATACTTGAAGCTGTTCGAAGGCGTTTGAATCTAGGTGATAGACTCCTAGCACAAGTCATCAATCAGCTGAAAAAAAATGATCGAATTCTAGCAATTTAAAAGAATCCATATGAAGCAATAGTTCAGTTGAAAGAGTCCATCAAAATACAAAAAACGAAGAGATCAACCGAAAGAAATCCAACAACAGCAGCAACTGAATAGGCACATGAATAGTCATGTGAACAGTGTACTTCAGACCAAAGCAGCCTACAGACAGTTGGAACTCCACCACAGTTGCATAAAAAAAACTTTGTTGCCTAGATCTCCAAGTTGGAACAAATTGCTGAAAGCCTCAGTTGGAACCCAGCTGAACCAGTCCAAGTGATGTGAAAAGTGACTCATCCACATCAAAAAGACTCCTATCTGGAAAAGGATCACAAAATTCCAACTTGAATTAGTAGCTAAAGGAGAAGAAAATAAGCTGACAGAGTGACGAAATCCCAGGCATGGGCTAAAAGAAACCAACTGAATGTGTAATGAATAGTAACATGAACAGTCCAGCTGAAGAATACTTTGCAAAATATCAACTACATTATAAGGTTCATGCTTATGCTACTATTAGCACAAAAAAACCTAATTATCAACATGTATCATCCAAAATGCATACATATAATAAGTAGATACACATTTCAAAAGCTATCTAGATCATTTAGTTGTTCAAGAAACTAGTCACAGGACAATGCACCATAGCAATGTAAAAGTACCAGTTAATCTAAGAATACCCACAACCAATTACTTTAGAAAAGTTAATATGGATAAACTAGGCAAGAACGCAAACCAATTGCAATTTTCTTTGCAAAAAGCCAGTAAGTCTTCTCAACAAAACTATAGATAACATTAAGCCAACGGAAACCAAAAAAAAATTAATTGAAACCTCAAGGAAGGTAATAGCCATGAACTTCACAAATCAATACCCAAGTAATTAATAGCCATGAACTTCACGATTCAATTCATCACAATATCAACACAGCACATAATTACTTGAAACTTCTAGTAAGGTACCAATAATGTCAAAAAGACTCAAATCTAAACCGATTACCCAAAGTATGCAATATTATAGTTTAATCTAACATTTGATAAATATACCAAACAAAGAATCTTACAATCTCTTGCTAAGATCAGGTAAAGATGTGTTATCCCATATATATAGATATATACTAGGGATAACTCGTGCCTAAAGGCACGATGCAACTAAAAAAAATCGAACATTGAATTTGAACACAAAATAATCAACAAATGGACATTGGTGCTAAGAAGCAGGAATAAAAATGAATGATGGTGAAGTAATAACACAACGGACAAAAAAAAATAGGTATAAAAAACCAACAAATGAAATTAAGTATTGAACAACAACAATAGTTAAAATGGTATTGAACCAAAAAGAGTTTACAATATATGTATATATATATCACCTAAGAATATACTCCTAAAGAGCTAACAATTTATGATAGCTTCTATATTTTGAGTTTTAGAAACTTTCGGGATATTTAGATAATCTCTAAACACATAATCTAGCGATATGGTATAATTTTATAATCTCTAAAACAATCTCATAACTGTTCGGGGTCAATATACAATTTCAGAAATATTTCCTAACTATTAAAAATATTGATTTAGTGTTTTATTATCTTCTGGGGTCATTGTGTAATTTCAACAGGTACTTATTTGTTACTCATGAAACACAAAAGGGAATTTTTTGTAACTTAACAAAATCTTGGACTTACCTTTATAATTTCAATAAGTAGGTATATGTTGTATCTAAGGGGGCAATTTCTGAATTTAAGCCAACAACTCTATCTTCTTCTATTTGACGACGCCCAGTTCTGCTCTTCTTTTTTTTTTTTTTTTTTGTTTGCCAGAAAATTCTTTTTTCATTTTCTTCTACCTGATTTCATTTCTTAAAATTATTATTTTTTTTGTTAATTTTTTTTAAGAGATACAAAACTCATTTGAAAGACTTACACATCCAAATACGTATATAAATATACCCACATATATACACCAATATATGTATAATTTCATCGTGTCAGGTCCAAAAGAGGCCTTGATGAAGGAAAACATTTTTTGTCTTACAGTTATCAGAAAAAGTTCGGAGGATGACAACTTTGGTCTGAAGTAGTTGAAAATCTAATCTAAAAACCGTTGATTTTACCGATCGAGTTCGTCGTCTAGTTGTCGTTGTCTGAGATGGGTGTGTCGTTGCCCATGGAGAAGTGGGTTTTGTTTGTTATTTTGAGAAGTGGATTTTATTAAAAAGTAACAAAAGATAAAATAATAAAATTATCATTTAAAGGTCAAATTTTGTTGACTTCTTCTCATTTTCTACCTATTTTTTTTTTTTTGGGGGGGGGGGGGGATTGCGGGCGAAAAGAAAAAGCCTTCTCAATAAGACCATAAGAGTATCAAATGGCCCAATAGCCACACCATCACACATGAAAACCAAAACATGCCGACATTTTCTTGCTCTACCCAACTTCAAATCCCACAGTAAAGCTCATACCTTAGCTTATGACAATCTCATTGGAACCCAGAAATCTCATTCACGTACCCTAAAACTTGGAATCTCAGTTGTTGAATCAAACCTTGTCAGTTGTTACTGTCAATCTGGCGCATTTTCACACGCTCATCAATCTTTTGATGAATGGCCCAAATGGGATGTAGTATCGGCCACAAGACTGATAGGTCACTTTGCAAGACACCAACATCACAAAGAAGCCATCTATTTCTTCTCAAAAATGCTTCATTTGAATATCAGACCTAATGAGTTCACATTTGGTACGTTAGTTCACTCTTCCACATCTCTAAAAGACCTCAATTTAGGCAAGCAAATTCACGCTTGTGCAATGAAGACAAGCCTCGAATCAAATGTGTTTGTGGGCAGTGCAATTTTGGATATTTATGCCAAGTTGAGCACCATAGAGGAAGCACAAAGAGCTTTGGGAGATACCCACCAACCGAATGTGGTTTCTTACACAACTTTGATTTGTGGGTACCTCAAGAAACAGAGGTTTGACGATGCTCTGGGGGTTTTTAGAACGATGCCCGAACGAAACGTTGTTTCATGGAATGCGTTGATTTGTGGGTATAGCCAGACGGGCCATAACGAAGAGGCATTGAATCTTTTCATTGACATGTTGAGGGAAGGTGTCGTGCCTACTCAGTCTACTTTTCCTTGTGCTATCACTGGAGCTGCCAATATTGCAGCGCTTGGAATGGGGAAGAGTTTTCATGCTTGTGCTATTAAGTTCTTGGGTGAGCTTAGTGTGTTTCTTGACAATGCTCTAATCAGCCTTTATGCAAAATGTGGAAGTATGGAAGATAGTCTCTTGGTGTTCGATAAAATTCCCGAACGAAATGTTGTCTCGTGGAACGCTTTGATATGTGGTTATGCACAAAATGGGAAAGGAAAGGAAGCCATAGATTTCTACCGAAAAATGTTATTCACAGGTCTTAAACCTAATAGTGTTACTCTTCTTGGTGTATTGTTGGCTTGTAATCATGTTGGTCTTGTTGATGAGGGCTTGTCATATTTCAATCAAGCGAGACTTGAGGACCCTAGTATACTAAAATCCGAGCACTATGCCTGTATGGTTGATTTGCTCTCTCGCTCAGGGAGGTTCAGGGAAGCAGAGAAATTTATCTGTGATTTGCCTTTTGATCCGGGAATTGGCTTTTGGAAGGCATTGCTTGGAGGTTGCCAGATCCATTCAAACATGGAGTTGGGTGGATTTGCTGCAAGAAAAATTCTGGCTTTGGATCCTGGTGATGTATCGTCTTATGTAATGCTGTCGAATGCACATTCTGCAGCAGGAAGATGGCAGAGCGTGTCAATGGTAAGGCAAGAGATGAAGGAGAAAGGAATGAAGAGGACTCCCGGGTGCAGTTGGATTGAAATCAAAAGCAAAATTCATGTCTTTGTCACTTCGGACAAGAGGCATGACCAAAAAGATGAGATTTATGTGGTCTTGGGATTTTTCATTGAACATTCGATGGAGAGCCAATCTACTGATATCCTTACAGAATCATGAATCCAACTTTGAGATCAATTCTATTTAAGAACAGATTGAACTGATTGGGATGGATATAAAACATGCTCAGATAGCTGAACTTATATTTTTTCGCATTCCCTCATGCAGTTTGTTCAGAAGCTTTGAGGTCAGCTCAGTTGGCTCAATATCAATCCTACATTGCTATTTGCTTGGGATGCCTGGCAAAGTTAGCCAAGATGAGTTGAGTAGAGAAGCAAAATGAGCACACTTGGGGAAATTGAGGAACAATGGTTGCAATGCCTATGAAACGCCGTTGGCACCGTTTTCGTAGCTCCAAAGACCTTCAGCAATTCATATGAAGTATATGGCGAAGCATGGGAAAGAGCAGCCGATTATCAGGTTCCACCACCCCATACCAAACGGACTTGCCAGAGATACACGATAGAAACGCAAATTGATAGAGATATATGAAGAACTGCTAATTGATAAAAACTTCCCTTCGGGCTGTCTCAATCTAGTTGACCTTCACGTAAGTATAAGGAGAAACACATTACCAGAAGTACCCAGTGCAGTCCTGTGCTGGTGGATTTTTATGGTTTTTGTCATTCAAAGCTGGTCAGCCATCCAAGTGATGTTCTTTGGAGTCGAAGAAGTGTAAACACGAAATATTTAAGTGAATGATTATTAACGGATCCATTATTATCACCAACTCTGGGCACTAGGATTCAAAAACAATAGTCTCTCGCAAATAGCAATAACAACATGTTTTGAAACAGGATCTGATTGAAATCTAAATCCTTGAAGGTAAACTTCACCTTTCTTGTTTGGAGTTGGGACCGTGTGTTCGGACTTCTAAGCAATATTTAGAAAGAATGTCAAAATATAACACGACATGAGATTATAAAGATCGAATCTTTTTTAAGTCACCTGTTTTGTAAATGAGTGGATCCAATATGATTAATAAATTGATCAAATATGAGTGAAGTCAACAAAAAGAAAAATATAGAACGACTTATTTATATATTAGTTATACACGATTCATCCACGACATAAACATAATATGATATGATTTGTTAGACACGAATTAATAAACGAATTGAGTATAGTTGAATTTTTTTTTTATATGAACATGTTTCATTCGACACAATTGACCGGCCTAATATTTGGCATGCAATGGCATCGTATGATTGCAAATTTTTTACATTTTGCAAACGAATCATGCTTATGGAAGAAAATGATCAGATACACAGACCCGCATACCATGCATTGAAGAACTTATTGGTGTAGACCCAGCTAAAAAACCTGACCCATGCACACTTTCGAGAAACGACGAACACGACTAAAATGGCTACACATACAAATCTATTTATAGATCTACATGTTCTGATTGGAACTGAAAGTTTCCGGCTGGGATACCACCATAATGAAACGGCCTTTCTTTTCTTTTCTTTTTTATTCGGGTTAGATTTATGTTGGCTTCTTCGGGGGATGGGTCGCGCCTAGATATGAACCCCAATTGGGAGTGAAAATGCTGATCATCCGTGATGGTTTCACCTAGGCATCTTCCAAGAAGCTAGTTTTGAGCCTCTATAATGACTAACAACTTGCTGCCTATTTGGATATGTAATAGCAACTCCAAAGAACTATGTAAAGGGGAATTTAGCTATTTTAAATAGCCAGAAATTTTAGCTCCAACGGGCTAACGGTATTTTCCATAACCCGATATTTGCTCGCTGCATCTGGCGATCCCCCGAGCGAGTAGCTAGTTCATCAACAAATTACATTTTTTGTGCCAAAATCGTCGCTCCACTGAAGCTCAGATCAGTCCACAGAAGCTCCATCGTCTTCATCATCGCACAAGCTTCATTCCGCAGGTATGCTCTGTCTCTCTCTCTCTCTCACAGAAACTCTTGATCACAACTGGTTTCGATTGACGATTTTGGAGGTGGGTTCGAGCTGTTTTGGTTCATTCCCTACATATGAAGTTTTATGTGCATCAATTTGTTCAATTTTCTTGAAATTATCTGGAGGGTAGTTGGCGGTGGGGGTAGTTTTGACTCAGCTCTTTCGGTTGTTGGTTTGGGAATTTCCTGCTGATGAATAGTTTGGGGTTAGTGATATTATTTGGCTCCTGAGATTCAGAGTTTGTTTTATGTGGTATTTGCTTCGTGAT